GGCGTTGTCAAGGGGTGTGGCTTATTGGCCAACGTTGTCCAATGACTACAAAGCAGGAACAGAGTTGTTTGGTTGTCTTTTTTTCTTTTTTTCACTGTCAGCTGTGATCATCATCTTTATCACTATCATCATCATGATCAGTTTTGTGGTCATGTTCACAGCTCATAGTTCATTTCATGTAAGTCTGTGCTGGCTTTCCTGTCGGTTTGTCGATATCAGGATGGTATCCTCCCAAAAAACAATAAAATGAATGCTGCAGGCAAGTGTGATAGTCAAGGTTGTCTTTTTTTCTCCACTGTTCACTCCACATTTGTATTTCACTTGTCTCTTGTAAAATAAGTCAATGGCAGCAGGAAAGTGAGATGATGATGTGCAGTGTGTGTGTATGTGTAATCAAGTGTGTAAAAATGTGTGTTCAGTGTCTCTGTATCTGAGTATTTGCATTTGAGTATATGTAATTATATGCATGTTTCTGTGTGTGTGTGTTATGCATGAAAATTGTATGTACGTGATCGTATGTAAGCGTGTGTGAGTGTGTGTCCTTGTCGAAGTCTGTATGTTTGTGTGTCGTTAAGGCACGGAAGGTGTTTTTGGTTTTCAGGGCAGTCCGGAGGAGACCACTGCAAGGCCGGGGTGTCGGAGGGAGGCGTGGCCAGCATGCACGGCTTTGGGGCAGTCTGGCGTCAAGACGCGGCCATTCTCCCCCACACTTCCTGTGATGGACAGACGGGCCTTGTTCCGCATGGCTTCAGAAAAAGACAGCTAATGAGAGAAGAGATGGAGGGGAGGACAGAGAAGATGGTGGAGATGGCAGAGTGGAGATTTTGTTTGAAAAATAATCTTCTCATAAGCACAGAAACTGTGCAACAAATGCAACCACTTGCATAAAGACACAGACATTTCTATACAAACACATGCACAAAAAACGCTCTTACATGCATGTGCCTGTACACATACTGTACACACAAGTATGCTAAAAATTACAGAGGTCTGAAGGTGCAATCACACATATAGTTGAAACAATACTATTAGTAGTGCAAGTTTTTCTTTTCAAATTCAGGTCTATATTTTCATTTTAAGGCTGACATTTTAAGCAACCTAGTGCTAAAACAATTAGTGAATTAGTGAATAAACAATTAGTCAAATAATCAATTTGTCATTGTCAAATTAATCATCAACATTTTGTGATTGATTTAAGACATTTTTCAAGCAAAAAGTGCCAAACCTTTGGTGCTTATATCTGTTCTTTGTATTATTGTAAATTGAATGCTTGTGCTTTAAAGGTGTAACATTTAGGAGTATCTATTGGCAGA